CAAAATTTAAGTCCAAATGGATCAAAGATCTCGACATAAATCCAGCCACACTGAAACTTTTAAAAGAGAAATTGGGAGATAGTCTTCAACGAGTTGGTACAGGAGACCACTTCCTGAACATAACACCAGTGGCACAAACACTGAGATCGACAATTAAAAAATGGGACCTACTGAAACCAAAAAAAAGCTTCTGTATAGTAAAGGACACAGTCAACAAGACAAAAAAGGCAGTCCACAGAATGGGAAAATATATTGACTAACCCCACATCTGACAGAGGGCTAATCTCCAAAATTTACAAAGAACTCAAGAAGGAAGTCTCCAAAACACCAAAGGATCCAATTAAAAGGTCGGGTACAGATCTAAATAGAGAATTCTCAATAGAGAAGGCTAAAATGGCCAAGAGACACTTAAGAAAGGGCTCAACATCCTTAGCCAACAACCCTGAGATACCATCTTACTCCTGTCAGAATAGCTAAAATCAAAAACACCGAAGACAATTTATGCTGGAGAGGATGTGGAGAGAGGGGAATTCTCCTCCACTGCTGGTGGGAGTGCCAACTCGTACAGCCACTTAGGAAATCCGTATGGAGATTCCTCAGGAAAATGGGAATCAATCTACCATAAGACCCAGAAATTCCACTCTTAGGCTTATATCCAATTGAGGCAAATTCAAACAACAAGGGCATCTGCTCCACTATGTTCATAGCAGCATTATTTGTAATAGCCAGAACCTGGAAGCAACCTAGATGCCCCTCAACTGAAGTATGGATAGAGAAAATGTGGTACAATTACACAATGGAGTATTACTCAGCAGAAAAAAACAATGGAATCTTGAAATTCACAGGTAAATGGATAGCACTGGAAGAAACAATCCTGAGTGAGGTAACCCAGTTGCAAAAAGACAAACATGGTATATACTCACTCATATATGGATTTTAGACATGGATCAGGATAGTTCCAGTCTGCACTTCTACTGATAGAGAGTCTGGGAAACAGGAAAGAACCTAAAATATATGCATAGTACCCAAGAGAAGAGGAATGAGCAAGATCCTCTGAACAGATGGGGAATAGGGCAAGGGGTGGGGGGGAGTGGCAGCTGGGAAGAAGAGAGTAGGATAAGAGGAAGTGAGAGTAGGTCATGGGGGAACAGGTAGGTTGAGTGGCAGGGAGGGAGAATAGGGGGAATCATAGGTTAGAAGACAGATCATGCACCATTGTGACCTCTAGTGATCTAAAGGGATGACACCAATTGGAAAGCTAAACAATAGTGGAGAGACCACCTCGAATGCCCATTCCTGATAATGAACTTGATGTCTATAACCATCTGGGAGCCCTCATACAGTGACTGATGGAAGCAGAGTCAAACACCCACAGTTAAACACTGAACTGAACCCAAGGAACTCAGTGACAGAGAGAGAGGAGCGATGAGCAAATTGGCAAAGAATGGGCTGGCAAAACCAGCAGAGACAGCTGATCTGAACAGGGTAGAGCTCTTGGACATCAGACCAACAGCGGGGAGGCCAGCATGGGACTGATCTGGACCCCCGAATGTGAGTGTCAGTGAGGGGGCCTGGGCAACCTATGGGGCCCTGAGTAGTGGATCATTGTTTATCCCTGGAATACAAACAGACATCGTGTGTCTATAACACAAAGAGGGATGCTCTCTCAGACTGGACTCTTAGGGGGAGTGCCTGGACCCTACCCTGAGTGAAATAACAGACTCTAGATATCCCCTATGTGGAAGGAATTGGCAGTAGAGTGGGAGGCTGGGAGGGATAGGGGGTTCCTGAGGAGGGGAGGGAGAGGGAACTGGGATTGACATGTAAAACAAGCTATTTAAAATAAAAAAATAAAATAAAATAATTAAAAAATGTTTTAAATATATAAAAAATTGTAAAAGGACATGCTTTCCCACTAACGATACTTGACATAATATTCAATGACATGAAAAAACACATTCTTGTTCACTTCTGTCCCATTTTCAAGTCACTGTATTGAATGATACATCATGAAATCGATGGTTGTGCACCTGGGGTATATTCCAATGGATCTCTCTTCCACTGGAAAAAAGAAAAAAATCTTACATATGAATGTGAATTACATGTGCTACAAAGTTGCTCTTTTTATAGCAAACATAACAGAAAAATGATTTTATTTGATAGGATTTTGTGCTTGGATATCTGAGACGTTTCAATATAAAGGTTAACATGATTGGATGAATTATGGCCCCAAACACTTTCCATTCCTACATTTAATTTCTGCCCAGCTGAATGTACTCAAGTAATATTATTTTATTTCAAAGTATTTCCTGATTGTGAAATCTGATCTTTTTTGCTCAAAATCCCTATACTGACATATAATTCATATTTTCCTATGCGCAAAGAAAAGAACAATTTAAATATAAACATATTAATCCAATTCTGTCTTTAATCTTACAAGAAATCTGGGTAAATTAATTACATTATAATTGATTTAGGTTACTAAATGAACAAATTAAAATATCATTTTTGTTAATGATGAATCTGTGGGAGTTAATATTTTTATATATGTTGTTTCCTAACACACACACACACACACACACACACACACACACATGTCTTGATTGGTGTTGTGTATCAAACCTAGGGGTAAAATGCACTTAATGCTGAGTTGCACTCTCTGACCCAGATAAACAATTATATAAATATATATAAATGAAAACAGTAACAAGATGTCTATCCTCCAGGCATTAGTTAACCAAAAGTAAACAAGCATAGGTTCACAATGAAGAAAGATACTCACTATTTTACGAATTTCTGAGTCAATGTCATTTAATCAATTATACAATTAAATAAAAATATAAAATGCCAAAGATCTTAAAATCACTTAAATTTACCTTGTTATTCTAAGAACTTCCTGGTAAGAACTTGTTAAATTTTCTTGTTAAACTTGTTTTTTTTTTCAGATAAAGAGTACTGATTATGTCTTCATTTTGGTTTTCCTAGGTGCAGGAACGATTTTCTAAATGTTTCCATAAGGATTAGTTTAAGTGTGAAAAGGTTTGCTTACTTTCTTTAAAAGTGCAAAATTCTCTCCAAAACAGCTTGTTAAAGATTCTGAAGGTTTGTTTACAGTACCTGATGCTCTAGATTTCATATTCACTACCACAACACCACCATTGATGATATATAGATGGATAGATAGACTGATGATAGATAGATAGATGATAGATAGATAGATGAGAGATAGATAGATGATAGATAGATAGATGATAGTGACATATATAGCAACCCTCTTCTCCATAATTCTTTAAAGTTGACAATTCAGATTGATATTTACAATTAATTTTAGAAAGTGTCCAAGTCCTAACATCTTTACATCATTTTAGAACGTAAATTATGTGGTTACATACATTTTTTGGCTTTCATACTGTGACTTTTAAACTAGTCAACCTGAATACTGAATAGAAAAAAATCAGTATTTTTTTGCACTAAGTAGCATCAAAAGTCATCTTAAGGCTCTCCAGCAATTAAAACCTTAATATCACTGGAGCAAAGAAAAGAACTTTGCCTTCTCCCTGGAGATAATCCTATCAATATGTAAGATTTATAAGGATAAAGGCCAACCTCTTCTCTGTGTTGATTTTGAGCCAGTGATCACTTAGCACTGGGCATCCAGCACAGTTATCAACACTCGAGTTTCCAGTGTACTGAAATAAGTATGTGACCTGTGTCTTCTTTGCCAACACCAATCCTACTCCACTCTCTAAAGGAGGGAATCCTCGAAAACAACAGTTTTGAGTTCTTTCTACTCTGGTCTTAATCTTTTCTTTTTTTCATGGTGAAGTAAGCAATATAAACCGTGTAAATATAATAATAAACAAGTAAACATTGATAAAGACAGATCTAAATACCATCTTGGGCCGCGCATTGGTGGCACATGCCTTTAATCCCAACACTTGAGAGGCAGAGGCAGGCAGATGTCTGTGAGTTCAAGACCAGCCTGGTCTACAGAGCTAGTTCCATGACAGCCTCCAAAACTACAGAGAAACCCTGGCTCGAACAACAAAGCAAAACAACAACAACAAAAAAAAAAACACCATCTTGGTTGGTCTCTCTCTCTGCCCTTCCTCTTCTGTCTCTGTCTCTGTCTCTCACCCTCTCTCTTTCTGGCACAAGCAGGCCCAAGCGGGAAGTTACTTAGCAAGGTTCCCGGTTTCCTAGTGCCCCACCCGCCCCTTGCACAGCTACAGGATCCTGGTCCTTTGGTTCCTTGGTTGCTCTGTGTTGCAGGTGGAAGCAACCCTTGTCTGTTGGTCTCTGCAGGGTCAGTCCTTGGCGCATCTGCCCTTCTCTACTGACTCCGCCCCGCATCTGTCTAGACCCGCCTCCCGGCAGAGCTGACCCACAACGCGACTACCAGTCAGTCCCTCCGGACCTGCAGAGAGCCTCAGCCTGCAAAAATCGCCACGCCTCACTCGGTCCGTACCCAGTGGGCATCTTGGGGATCTGGGCGGTCTCCGGTTCCCGACGCGTGTATCTGTGTGTCTGTCTCTCTGTGAGATACGCTCTCTGCAGCCTGCCTGCCAGTCCCAGTGCACCAAGTGTCTTGTGTGCCCTATCGCTGACGCTGAGCTTGGGATGGCCTTAGTGAGCTCCTAGCCCGCCTGACCTGCCTGGCGGAGGAATACACACACTTGCCCCTGCAAGGTGGTTCTGGCATTTTGTATCTACAGGAGCTTGGGGCCTATGCTTTTTTTTTTCCAGAAAGCCAGTCACGAGGACTCTGTTGGCAAAGCTAGATGTGGGGAGCCAGCCAGATCCTTGATGATTTCTTTAATTTTAATGGGGAAGGGAATATTGAGCTTTTAATGAAGGCTTTTAAAACCAAAGGGAAATCAGAGGGGTGAAAAAATGTAAGTCCTCTTAGGGAGAACAGATTGCTTTCTGGGTTGCCTTTATGTCTGATACATTTGTTCTGAGCTTGCTGACCAGCTGTTTCTGAACTTCATTTTCTCAGCCGCAACAGTGATTTGAGTCTGCTTTTAGCTCCCTTCCACCTGCCTTCGCTTGTTTCTGTGCAAGAACAGCTGTTTGGTCCATAGATTAGAGAAAGGGGTCTCCACCCCCTTTCCCAAGAGAGCCTCTTCTAAGTGCTCAGCAATGGGGAGCGGGGAACCTAATACTGCTGGCAAGAAAAAGAAGTACCTCAAGGCTGCACTGTATGTTGGTGACTTGGACCCTGAAGTGACAGAGGACATGCTCTACAAGAAGTTCAGACCGGCTGGCCCTCTACGCTTCACTAGAATTTGCCGGGACCCAGTGACCCACATCCCCCTGGGTTATGGTTATGTTAACTTCCGCTTTCCTGCAGATGCTGAGTGGGCCTTGAACACAATGAACTTTGATTTAATTAATGGTAAACCATTTCGCCTCATGTGGTCACAGCCAGATGACCGCTTAAGAAAGTCTGGAGTTGGAAATATATTCATCAAGAACTTGGATAAATCCATAGATAATAGGATCCTGTTTTACTTCTTTTCTGCTTTTGGTAACATTCTTTCCTGTAAGGTAGTAAGTGATGACAATGGATCTAAGGGTTATGCCTATGTTCATTTTGATAGCCTTGCTGCTGCCAATAGGGCTATCTGGCATATGAATGGAGTCTGGCTTAACAACCGTCAGGTGTATGTGGGAAGATTCAAATTTCCTGAAGAGAGAGCAGCTGAAGTCAGAACCAGGGATAGAGCCACATTTACCAATATTTTTGTGAAAAACCTTGGAGATGACATGGATGACGAAAAACTAAAGGAACTTTTCAGTGAATACGGACCAACTGAGAGTGTTAAAGTAATAAGGGATGCCAGTGGAAAATCTAAAGGCTTTGGATTTGTCAGATATGAGACACATGAAGCTGCCCAAAAATCTGTGCTAGACCTGCATGGCAAGGCAATAGATGGGAAAGTCCTGTATGTAGGGAGAGCACAGAAGAAAATTGAACGCTTGGCTGAATTAAGGCGGAGATTTGAAAGGCTGAAATTAAAAGAAAAAAGTAGACCCCCGGGAGTGCCTATCTACGTTAAGAACCTGGATGAGACCATCGATGATGAAAAGCTGAAGGAGGAATTTTCTTCATTTGGATTAATTAGTCGAGCCAAAGTGATGATGGAAGTGGGACAAGGCAAAGGGTTTGGTGTCATCTGCTTTTCTTCTTTTGAAGAGGCTACCAAAGCAGTGGATGAGATGAATGGTCGTATACTAGGCTCTAAGCCACTGAATGTCACTCTGGGCCAAGCCAGGCACAGGTGGTGAGAATCACAATGGTCACTTTGTTTAGCCTTAGCTGGTGCCTACATAGCTTGGGCTCCTTTCTGATAGATGGACATGTTTTTGTTGTTATTTTATTTTGTATGTGTGAAAAATTATTTTAGAAAGTGTAAACTCAAAATCTTGTTAATTTTAGTGAAGAACATAGATAGTTTTTAAATGTAAAATTGTCATTTTGTATGAGTTTTTACATAATATCTATCCTTAAGGATTTATGGAATAAAGTTTATTCCTCCTTTTTTCTGAATAGCCTAATTGAGGCAATTGATTATATTTCTATCTTTATTTACATAATACTAATTTAATTTATTCCATGAAAATATTCTTAGCAAGGTCCTTATTTCTGATTCTGACACAGTGGAAGTTCAGGACTTGCTTTTTAGAAAAATAATCAAAGAAGCTTAAAACTGCTGCATAATTTCATATTAGATTATGATTTAAAGGAATATTTTAACAATATGTGAGGATTCCTTCCTGTATTTATTTGTATTGATTTTCTTTTATAAATACATTAGGAGCATACTACATACTTGTTAGTAACTTTGACTAAGTATTGGTAGTTGTTTTTATTAGTGTCTTGTTCTTGTTTTATAATCAGTGCTTTTAGAAAACTGTTACATTGATAAATGGCTACTCAAAATGTGATGGTATCATAAAAATCCAAGTTATTTAATATTTGAAAATATTCTAAAAGCCATCCTTAATAGTTCTTTTTATAAATGTATATAATGATCACATACATGCAGACTATGTTAAGCTAACAAGAAAATGTAATAATGCACTAACTCATTTTTTAAAGATTTATTTATTTATTTATTATGCATTCAGCATTCTGCAGTCCAGAAGAGGGCACCAGATCTCATTATAGATGGTTGTGAGCTACCATGTGGTTGCTGGGAATTGAACTCAGGACCTTAACCTCTGAGCCATCTCTCCAGTCCCGCACTAACTCATTTTTACTTTTAAACACTTTACACACTGCTCCTGGTAAAACTAAGGACCTATTGCTTCTTGTAAGCCTTAAATATATCCATGTGCAAATAATGACCTTGTTTCATTAAGGGACAGGTTTCCTCTTAACTAGGTCACATGAGAATTATTAACTCCAAATAATTCTCCTTTGCTGCATCAGAACATTTAAACTAGAATGTGTGTTTTCCAAACATTAAGGACAAAATATTGTTCTACAGCATCTTCATGTACCATGCAATTCCTAAACCACAAATTCTCCACATTTCACTTGCAGTAACCATTTCTTATTACTTTCAGCTTTCAATCCAGGTATAACTTAAAATTAGTATAACTAATTTGAAAATTAGAAAAAATCAAACTGTGTTGAACTTGAATAACTTTCTTAGAATATATGATTCACTCATATGATAGGTTCTTTCACAAGAACATGTTTGGTATCCCTTGTCAGGATATTGTCTTCAATTACTTTACAGATAAATCTTTTTAAGGGTAATATAATTATACAACTTAAAAAATTCTGTTAGCTATTTGACCACGAAATATAAGTAGGATATTTCTATGTAATAACATCCAATATTGTGTATATACATATTATAGTATTTTCAAAATGAAAATCACTGACTTGTTGATTATAAATATAATATGTAATCATAAATCCTGTAAAAATTTACAAAGAAAATATTCTCAATTTTTGTAGGTGCATATCCCTTTATATCTTTTTCTTATGTGTGCACACATTTTTTGAAAAATACAGTATGCAGTGATCCATAATTTGTTTTATATTTATATACTGGAACACAGTCATCCTATCATACCAATAAATATTAATATTGATATATATCATGATTTTAGAGACTTCATAATTTTTCTTAATATGGATATAAAATAATACTTTTGATTTAATAATTTTTAAAATTTATAAACTATAATGAGCTGAACATCTTTTTCTGGAAACATTGTGCATGATGAATGTAACAAAAAACTTCTATAAAGTATAATGATTAAATATGCTAGAGAACTAAAACACTCAATAGGTAGATATGTTCCCAAATTTTTGAACATCTTCAGCATGTATTAAATTTTATGAAAAAAATCAGGAAATAATTTTTATGCTTGATGAAACTACTTTATATTATTGCAACTATCAAAATACATAAAAATTTAAATAGATACAATGACAATTATATATTATATACTTTATTCATTTTAAACACTCTCTTTTCTTAAAGAATTATATATTTTTATTTTATATCATTGGTGTTTTCTCAAGTGTTTGTCTGTTTGAAATTTCAAGATCTCCTGGAAATGAAGTTAGAGACAGTTATGAGCTGCAAAGTAAGTGATGGGAATTGAAACCTGGTCCTCTGGAAGAGCAGCCAGTGCTCTTACCCGCTGAATCATATCTCCATTATGAAATATACTTTTAAAATCATAATTATAAGTACAAAATATCACTTTTAGCATGATTCTGTGAAAATTTTAAATAAAATATCTAGGACGAGTTCTAGAATGTAAAAATAATGAAATTAAGTACATGATTTTGGAACTTAATATTTAAAGTGTTATTATATTCTAAAGAACAGCCTTTATAAATTGCCGGCAAAAATAAGGATTGTTAGGAACAGCTAAAATAGTTATAATGAAGATCTATTTAACCATTTGAAAAAATTGAAAATTTAAGAGCTGAAAACCATGAGGAAAATATATATTAAAGGTAATCTCTATGAATAAAAATACCTGAGTAGTTTTTTATCTTGTGCTTAAGTTTTATCTACTTATAATACACTGCCAAAGAACAACAGTATTGCCAAGGGGTTTATAAAGCTTAGTGCCCAGCACTTCTGAGGAAACTGTTATTACTAAAAACACAGCTAGTGCTTGGTTAATAATCAACTATATAAGGCAAGTTTTGTTTTGATTAAGTTTTCAAAGCAGTCACTTGGACAATTTTTAAAATGCACAATGAGAAGAAAATTAAGAAATTAATTCATGATTACATACAATCATAATAAAAATTGGGGGGGAGAATTTACACATATTCTTGTTTATTTATTGCCAATGAAAAAGAAAGCAAAATTTTTACTTTGGGCTAGTGGAAACAATAGTAATTATATCTTTAATTAGTAAGTTGAAAATGGATTAAATACCATTGTCCCTGAAAATAAAATGCTTAGATAGAAAACAATTAGAAATGTGTCAATAAATGACTGAATATAAATAATTGAAGTGTGTTTAACACCTATAATAGTCCCTGAAATGCAGTATTCAACAATCCATTAATGAATGCATTAATAACATGGGCTATTCCCTTCCATTTTGTTACCTTTCAAATCTATCAGTATGTAATGAGTGAAATGAGATTTTAAGTAGCATATGAAAATGTACTTGAGAACTGAAAAATATTTATATTTTATAATATTAGGTGTTCAAATATTTTCCTTTTAGTGTTATGGTTTTTATGATTTCTATCATTTGACCATTCCATGTTTCCACGATATGTCATAAATGCAAAGCCTGTGATTAACATAACTTAAAATTGTTTGTAGAGCAATATTTTTTATGTTAATGACATCTTCTGTGAAGACTAATCAGATTCCAAAAATTATTACTTCTGTACTGAAATATATAATTACATTAATTCTTGAGAATGTAGTAGTTGCTAATCTTAAATTATTTAACCCATATACAGTCGCAGTATTTTTTACTACTCTTAACATGTGTCCTAAAAAATGATTACTTACACACTCAGGAGAGTTAGAGTTTCCCACACAGCTTTAGTAGATCCTCGCTATAAAATCCCCTCACTATAAAAGCAAATTTGAAAGTAAAATGATTTGCTGCAATCCTTATACTAAAGCTTATCATTCTTGCTATTCAAAGATGTATTTATTTTGCTTTATGTGTGTGAATGTTTTGTCAACATTTGTGCATGTGTACAACATGTGTGCATGTGTGCCTAGTTCTTTTAAGGGTCAGAAAGCCAATGGATCCTTTGGTACTGGAGTTACAGATGGTTATGAACCACTATGTGGGTACTGGGAACAAAACTCAGGTCTTCCACAAGAGCAGCAAGTGGTTTTATGCACTGATCCATCTCTCCAGCCTTCAGTCAAATTTCTTGGATTTTTCTCTTTAAGTAAGTGTCTCATATCTCTGACAGACCTGGAACTCTTTATGATGACCAGGGTGACCTTGAACTCACAGAGATCCACCTACCACTGTCTTCAGAGTGTTAGGATTAAAGCTGTTCATCACATGACTGGCCTTCTAATTATTATAAGGTAAAAACGTATCTCCAAATACTTTGATCCTCAAAATCAGAGTCAAAGTTTAAAGTATATCTTATTTGAAAGGGAAAGGTCATCATTAAATTTCTAATATGAAATTTGGGACCTTTTAAAAAATGTATTTAGTAGTCAGGTGAGATTGGGTCCCCGGCTGGGACCACCCGCCCATCACCCATCCCCCTCCATCTTCGGGGCCGCTCCCGGCTTCCAGAAGAGCCGCCCACACAGGAAAGAGATCAGCTCCCCAAGACCCCAACCCAGCGAGTCCAGCTTCAGGTGAGATTGGGTCTCTGGCTGGGACCACCCGCCCACCACCCATCCCCCTCCATCTTCGGGGCCGCTCCCGGCTTCCAGAAGAGCCGCCCACACAGGAAAGAGATCAGCTCCTCCAAGACCCCAACCCAGCGAGCCCAGCTTCAGGGCCGCTCCGGGCTTCCAGAAGAGCCGCCCACACAGGAAAGAGATCAGCTCCCCAAGACCCCAACCCAGCGAGTCCAGCTTCAGGTGAGATTGGGTCTCTGGCTGGGACCACCCGCCCATCACCCATCCCCCTCCATCTTCGGGGCCGCTCCCGGCTTCCAGAAGAGCCGCCCACACAGGAAAGAGATCAGCTCCTCCAAGACCCCAACCCAGCGAGCCCAGCTTCAGGTGAGATTGGGTCTCTGGCTGGGACCACCCGCCCATCACCCATCCCCCTCCATCTTCGGGGCCGCTCCCGGCTTCCAGAAGAGCCGCCCACACAGGAAAGAGATCAGCTCCTCCAAGACCCCAACCCAGCGAGCCCAGCTTCAGAAGAGCCACCCACACAGGAAAGAGATCAGCCCCTCCAAGACCCCAACCCCAGCGAGGCCAGCTTCAGCTTCAGCTGCAGTAAAGAAGGAGACCAGTGGAGACAGAAAGCCCCCACCAGCACCCACTGGAAGAAGAGATGGGAAGAA